TTTTCGGAAACTCTGGTCTCTAGTCACAGCTGACCAACGTGAATTGAGGGCCGTATGTGAGGGGCCAGGATGGGGGCAGAAAGTCCGGAATATGGTATTTTTCAAGTTTCAAATTGTTTTCACAGTTTCAAATTAGTTTCCAATCAGTTTCACATTAGTTTCTAGTTTCAAAATCCAGTTGCAAAATCGCTGTTAAGGGGGAACTGCAATTTCTGTCCGCGCTTTTTGAAAACCAGGAACCTCTGAGATTCCTTCATTTTTTGAATTGCGTGTAGAAAGATGCAGTTTCCCCTTAACAGCGATTTTGCAACTGGATTTGAAACTATATTGAAACTAATTTGAAACTGCGGAAACGAATTTGAAACTTGAAAAACGCGGCATTTCTGCTCTTGGGCTCTTGGCCACGCCCGAGCAAGAGGAGAGCTTAGTTAGGCTTGAAGCTGCCAAAAGTACATCTCCGACATTCTTCCCAAAAGCCATTCCAGCAACAACTCTCGCCAACAAGTCAGTAAATTATCTTGTCCGAGACTGTGGATGGACAAAATCTTGCATGACCCTACGTTACACGTGTGCGACGGTTGGTAGTCGAGCTCCCCGCGCTCCTCGAATTTCAATGTTGCGTGCGCGCGCGGGTGATGCAGGATTTCGGTCATTCACACACATGCACTTTCGAAGCATTGCAAGGACAGCAATGTTAAGATTCAGGGTTTGGAAGGGATGACTTGCATAATAAAAGTGATGCAGGATTTCGTCCATCAACAGTATGACTTATTATAATACCAGAAATTCCAGTTTTTTCTTTTCTTTAACCGTCTATTTCAATGAAACCATCTCATATGAACTTACCTACATCTTTATAACGCTGAGTCTGTTGCGTCTTGTATAAAGGAAGTTTTCAATCATCATAAACATCTCTACCGCTTTTAGTCCCAGCAACGTATAAAATAGAACCATTTTTGATCTATCCCGTCAGGATTCTAATACGCTAATTTTTGTCCTTTCGTGTCCGTTAACAATGTCTCTGTCTTTGCGAATTCGTCTCTAACTTTATTATGTAGTCTGCTTCTTGTGTTAGGTGCTTTATTTGAAACCCCTTCATCTTTTCTTTTATGTTTATGCATTATACAATGGTTAAAAAATTTGTTTTTCCTAATCAATGAATATTGTTGAATTTCACAGAAGGTGTATATTGAAAGCCATGATAGAGTGAATAACAGAGATTAGCAAACCACACAAAACCAAATCCAGAAACGGATTATGTTTGCAGATTTCGGTTGTTTAAAAGTGTATATAATCAATAGCAAGTTGTAGCTTCAGACATGGCAAGACACGAAAGTATCGTAAACACCGGTGTTTCTTCACTTAAACAATATGTGTAAGTAAGCACAGGTGCAGAAGGACAAGCAAGAAAAGGATACATATGGCTCATGGGGGGGGGGTGAAAATACATATGTACACATATATATATGTGCATATATACTTATACGTTTTTCCCGACGGCTTTAAGTAGGCCAACTCTGAAGGCTGGTACGAGATCCTGCAGACTGGCTCTGGGCGGTCTACAACTTCTTTGTGCGAATGGGAGATACGGCCTACAAAGAGCCAGGGGAGTGGGTACCGTCGTAGCTGAATGAGTAGGGTTTAGGGTTTAGGGTTTAGGGTTTAGGGTTTAGGGTTTAGGGTTCAGGGTTTAAGGTTTAGGGCTTAGTATGAAGTGAAAGTGTACACTTGTTTGGGACTTCTGAACTCCGCAACTAAGGTAAATAAGTCCAAGCACTACCGCAGCCCCGAGCACTTTCATGAGACGTTGCGTGGAGGCAACCGGCTCAGCGGTTTTAACCTCCCGGCCCTGAACCTCTCCGAGCTGAGCCTTAAGGAGCAGTTCGGGCCCCGGCTGCTTGTGTTGAGGTCTGAGGACCTCTCCGACATCTCGGCCTTAAGCAGAGTGGCCTCCTTCATTGGGGTGCCGGTGGGTAAGTTCGATGCAAAGCTCGTCGGACAGAAGACCAACTCACAGTATCGGCAAGCGTCTCGCGGACCTGGCAGCGTTTCGGACGCGCAGGCCTCCGGAATCTATGAAGTGTCTGACTTCAGACCGATTCTCTGCAAATCCAGGCAGATGATCTATGAGATGTATCGAGGAGAGTGCCGCTTCTGGCAGAGCGAGTTTAACCTCTCCTACCTGGCATGCCTGACGACGGAAGTGGCCGAATGCCCCTGTGAATGCTCTCCTTCCCGAGATCAACACCCCGACTTTCTGCGTGCAAAGCCGCCATTGTCCACCAAGGAGACCATGCTGGGGCGAGGGAAGGCCGGGGGGACCCTAAACCTTCAGCCCTAAGCCCCCGAAACCCTGAACCCTAAACCCCAAACCCTAAACCCCAAACCCCAAACCCCAAACCCCAAACCCTAAACCCTAAACCCTAAAAAACCTTAACCCCTAACCAGGAATCGATGGACCAGTGGTCGTTGCTGATGGTAGCCTCATGCACGCTATCCTTCTTCCTCGGTAGGATGCTCCGCCGCGGGAAGGGCTAAAGACTTTTTGTAGCTTAGGGTTTAGGGTTTAGGGTTTAGGGTTTAGGGTTTAGGGTTTAGGGTTTAGGGTTTAGGGTTTAGGGTTTAGGGTTTAGGGTTTAGGGTTTAGGGGTTTACGGTTTAGTTGAGTGGTGCCCTTTTGCCTCTTTTGGGTTTCTGGGCTCCCTTATACAAAGAAACCCTAAACCCCAAACCCTAAACCCTAAACCCTAAACTCTAAACCCCAAACCTCAAACCCCAAACCCTAAACCCTAAGCCCTAAACCCTAAACCCTAAACCCTAAACCCTAAACCCTAAACCCTAAACCCTAAACCCTAAACCCTAAACCCTAAACCCTAAACCCTAAACCAACCTGGGCTTCGCCTTCACTGCCTTGTCATGCCTCCCGCCAGTGAGTGGCTGAGATTTCAGGTCCTTCGGGCCACAAGAGAGCCCGAGCCGGCCATGAGAAAGGGTTTAGTTTAGGGTTTAGGGTTTAGGGTTTAGGGTTTAGGGTTTAGGGTTTAGGGTTTAGGGTTTAGGGTTTAGGGTTTAGGGTTTAGGGTTTAGGGTTTAGGGTGTTTAGGGTTTAGGGTTTAGGGTTTAGGGTTTAGGGTTTAGGGTTTAGGGTTTAGGGTTTAGGGTTTAGGGTTTAGGGTTTAGGGTTTAGGGTTTAGGGTTTAGGGTTTAGGGTTTAGGGTTAGGGTTTAGGGTTTTTAGGGTTTAGGGTTTAGGGGTTAGGGGGTTTAGGGCCCTAACCCTGATGTCTGGAAGTAGCAAGTCGGATTTGGGGAACTTCACTTCATGATAAAAGCCACTTCTGGGTCTACGAAAATAAGGGCACCCCCCCCCCCCCCCCAACATAGACCCCCAAATTGTAGGTTTCCCTTATAACAAGGAACCCAAACCCGAAACCCGAATCCCTAAGCCCTAAGCCCTAAACCCTAAACCCTAGATGTCCCCTTCTCTCATGAGGCCATTTGTCGACAGAGCACACCCTAAGCCCTTAGTGACTGAAGTGGAGGTTTCCGAAATTAGGGGTAGGGTTAGGGTTTAGGGTTTAGGGTTCCAGGATTTCCCCTATGCCTAGCTACCGTACCCTATAAAGGGTTTATGGTTTAGGGTTTGGGGTTTGGGGTTTCGTGTTTAGGCTTTAGGGGACTACACCTAGGACCCCGAGTAGGCCCATATTCCCCTTTATTTTGGGCTTGAGCTCTCAAAAGGGCACCCTGTTTGTTCCTAGGTTACCTCCTGGGTCTAGACACCCTGCAAAAACAGTTTAGATCCGGTAACTCACCACAGGTGTTGCAGGGTGTTGGAGGCTTTAGGGTTTAGGGTTTGGGGTTTAGGGTGTGTAGGCCCGGGTCAGGTTCTCTCGGCTTGCGTTCCGTCCTTTCGGTATGTTTGGATGTGGGTATCTGCCAAAATAGGTGCACCCGGCCCCTTTCTACCCCAAATCGAATAGATTCCCCTTAAAGGGACACCCAAACAGGGTACTCCTATTTTCGGAAACCACCATGTGGAGCTGCGTAAATTGAAAGAGCCATGGTCAAGCTCGAAGAACAGTCCCTCTTCCGGACCTAACTCCTTGCTCTTCACCCGCTCTCTCTTCTCTCTTCTCTCTCCTCTCTCCTCTCTTCTCTCTTCTCTCTTCTCTCTTCTCTCTTCTCTCTTCTCTCTTCTCTCTCCTCTCTTCTCTCTTCTCTCTTCTCTCTTCTCTCTTCTCTCTTCTCTCTCCTCTCTCCTCTCTTCTCTCTTCTCTCTTGTCTCTTCTCTCTTCACTCACCTCTCTCCTCTCTCCTCTCTCCTCTCTCCTCTCTCCTCTCTCCTCTCTCCTCTCTCCTCTCTCCTCTCTCCTCTCTCCTCTCTCGGTCTCTCGGGGAGGCTCTGAGGTTGAAGTTCTTTCAAAGTCCTTGGCGTGGGGGAGTGCCGGGTGTAGGACCAGCGTCGCCGTACCCAGCCTCGGTGTCTCGAGGAATGGCTAGGACGATCCCAAGGGCAGGGTAAAATTCCCGCCCGTTTTTAAAAGGGATTTCTGGTAGGCCGCTGCACAAGTAAATGTGATGAATCGATCTGGTTTACATTGCGCATCTTCTCCTGGACCCGAAGACCCGCTGTCTCCTACATGCCCTGCATGCCCTGGGTTTAGGGTTGAGGGTTTAGGGTTCCACAAACCCAGAGCTGCTTGTAGATCCTAAACCCTAAACCCTAAACCCTAAACCCTAAACCCTTTCTGGCAAACTCGCTTGCCATGTCCGTTCCGAGATGGCTGACTCTTGGGGCCTTGACACTCCTCGTCCTGGTTCTGGCCGCCCTGGCTCTGAAGGACTTCGCCCGTCCCAGGTATGATTTTTGAAAAATAGGGGTACCCCTATTCTGGCACCCCAAATAGAATGGCATCCCCTTAAAGGGATCCCCCAAGGGCACCCCTATTTTCGGAGACCCCTCCCAGGTATGAATTTCATGATGGCGAAGGGACGGGGATGTCGGCGAGCTCGGCAAGGAACGTTGCATGCGAAGGGCCCAGGTTAGTGGTCCATGTGGGCCCACACAAGAGACTAAGTAGGCCATTGGGACATCTATGTTTCTCCTTATTGTTTGTTGAAGAGGATCATATTCAGGAACCATGCTTCAGATGGTTTTTATGGGCCATCCTAGGACAGGAACGAGCGCCTTACAGAACTTCCTTGTAAGCCATGAAGCTTGGCTTGAAAGCAAGTGGGGCGTGAGCCTGGGCTTTCAAGGAAGCGAGCATCAAAAAGGGGCAGGGCTGATTGCCGTGAAGATCCTCTACTCCTCTTGCGAAGCACTGGCAGGCCACAAGGATCCCGCTCTGCGACGGGCGATTCGTTTTGCGAAGTCCAAGCTTGAGACCTCTTCCCGTGTCATCCTGTCTCACGAAGCCTTCAGTCTATACAGCAGAGCGAAGTGGGAGTGCTTCTGGCGTCTTATGGGTAAAGATGCGTGCTCCTCCGCGGTGGTGCTACACCGCGACATACCAAACTTGATGGCGTCACTGTATGCGGAGATCACGAAGAACATGAGCAACCCGCCTGGTCCAGCTTTTCGTTTGAAGTCTCCTGCTAGGGTAGGTAGTTTTCCTGTTTGCTCGCTCCAGCTGTGTACTCTCACGGCCTTTCGTTTCTAGTCTCGGATGTCACTTCCCCTTTGTTGATTTACGCTTGCTTGGAGGTTCATGGGCCATGGGTGATTACAAGTGAGGTTGTCAGAATGAAAACTCTAGTGAACCGGTTGTACCTTATCTTACCTCCTATGTGGGGTGGGTGCTTATAGCCCTCTGCCTCTAAGTCTATACTTAGCTACTTACTAGGCCGGGCCCTTGAAATATATTCGTACATGTTCTTATCGGCCTGCTCTTCTTGTGAGTGCGAGCTTCGACACATTCGTACGATCCATAGTTATCTTCGGCGTAGCGCAAACACTAACCCTGAACCCTGAAACCTGAACCCTAAACCCTAAACCCTAAACCCTAAACCCTAAACCCTAAACCCTAGACCCTAAACCCTAAACCCTAAACCCTAAACCCTAAACCCTTGGGATGGACGTTTTGCTTAGTCATAACATGAGGCTCTTCTCAGTTCACTTGCAGGCATGCCACCGAGCTTCATGCAGTTCCTCCCAAGGGTCTTCTCCATGCGGCCGGACGAGCATGGAGAGGCCGACAAGCAGCTTCAACTCTTGAACGTCTTGGAGGAGCAGTTTCCTGAACATGTGGTTGCTGCATCCTACGACTACCTGAAGGAAGAGAAGTGCAGCGCGGGCGCCTTCCTGATCTGCAATGCCACTCTCCAGTTGACGGATTCGCGGTGGAAGGAGTGCAGAGACTCCATCGATGCTCGGTCAGCGGCTGAGTACAACTTGTCTCCACCGCGCGCAGCAATCGATGTGGTGGTGCTGGCAAGAGCCGCCTACGAGATGAAGCGGGCGACGCACCACGGGGCAACTCCCTGCAAGCCCTGGCCCAATGTTACCAAAACAAGTACCGAGGCCCAAAAGAAGCACTCGCTGGTCTCCTCGCACCCTAATGTGCTCAAGGCGGCGAAGCAACTACCACTCAGGTGGGGCCGAGGGGGGGGGGGGGGGGGGGGGGGGGGGGGGTTTTTTTTTTTTTTCGAGCTGCTGTTTCAACAAGAGTCCGGACTCTCCTCTGTTTTTTTGTTGAGAGACTGTGCTGCGTATGCAAGCAGGTTTGTATCATTATTTGTTTTTTTTTGTTTGTGTGTGTGTGTGGACCCTTGAAAGGTGTGAAAGAATGGATGCCGTGTTCCGCAAAGCGACTGAGGGGTACTTGGGAAGTGTTTTTTTTCATATTTGGGTTCTATGATTCCGAAGAAACAGCAAAAATTATACTATGATTCCTAAGAAACAGAAAAAAACATATACTTTTTGCTGGTGTTCCTTAAGTTCAGCAAGAAGGTGACGGATGAGTGGTTTGCACGGACGAAGGCCAAGAGGCCTCGGATTCCCCCTTCGAAGACGATCCTTTGTCATAGTGTTTAGGGTTTAGGGTTTAGGGTTTAGGGTTTAGGGTTTAGGGTTTTTTACATGTTCAAGCGTACTTAGACTTAAACCCAGTAAGGAACAAAAGCTTAAAGTTTAGTTGCTATCCCAACCATGAATAAGGATCTGCAGGCTTGATGTCGACAACTTCCAGGAGGAAGACTGGCGAGTGATCTTGAAGCTGTTGCCCGAGTGCTAACAGGAGGCTTCTCTTCAAAGGCGGCGAAAAAAGGCAAGCAACAAGCTCTTCCTAAAGCACAGGCTTTGCTGCCAACGAAACGCGGGGTTTCTCAGACCCTAAACCCTAAACCCCTAACCCGCAACCCCATAAACCCTACACCCAAAAGAGACTTGGTCCAGCTGAAACCATGCGAATTGCCGCAGATACCCTGTACGCCAACGCGCCGCTGGCTCTCAGCCTGTGGGTGTAGCCGAGGCTCCAGGCGGCTGTGACACAAGTGAGCAGGCTGCAGGGCAGGATGCAAATGTACCACGTTCTCTCTATGCAGACCCTGAACCCTAAACCCTAAACCCTAAACCCTAAACCCTAAACCCCCTAAACCCTAACCCTAAACCCCAGATGTTCCCAAGCTCTGTAAATGTTCGTAAGCCAGCACAATCAAAAGCTGAGCAGATGTGCGAGCGTCGGCCCTGCAGTCTACAAACCTGATGGCGATGCTGGCAGACACCTATCCTTTGTGGTGCTTTAGTGTAACTTTACACCTTTAGCCTTTTTGGGTTTATTGGGTTTCTTAATAAGGCAGCTAAAAGTTTAGTTTTTTGCTACCCTCCTAAGTGCAGCCAAGTTATCAGACCTCGGGCTTAGGGGGGGGGGGGGGGGCGAAGCAAAATGGCCCATGTGTGCCCCTCAACAGACTAGGGTTTAGGGGTGTAGGGGCGTAGGGGTGTAGGGGTTTAGGGGTTTAGGGTTTCGGGTTTAGGGTGTAGGGTTTAGGGTGTAGGGTTTAGGGTTAGGGTTCCTCAAAAGTTTAAAAAGGGCTCAGAAATGGCGCTTCATCGGCCCCTCGTAGCCGCGATGGCCCTCGCCTTCGCGATCCTTGGGCCAAAATGAGCCCTAAGATTGGGGTCCTGTGCCCTGACCACTGTAATTCCAATAAAAGGTATGCGAACCCCTGAACCCTAAACCCTAAACCCTAAACCCTAAACCCTAAACCCTAAACCCTAAACCCTAAACCCTAAACCCTAAACCCTAAACCCTAAACCCTAAACCCTAAACCCTAAACCCTAAACCCTAAACCCTAAACAATAAACCCTAAACCCTAAACCCTAAACCCTAAACCCTAAACCCTAAACCCTAAACCCTAAACCCTAAACCCTAAACCCTAACCCTAAACCCTAAACCCTCTTAGGGTCCCTTACGTCCCCAAGGACTGCCTTCACCTTCGTCGCCTTGCGACGCCCAAAAACCGCGAGCACCGGAATCGTGAAGCCGAGAGGTCACAGCCATGGCCCCTGCACCGGCCCCAGGCAGGGGTTTAGGGTTTAGGGTTTAGGGTTTAGGGTTTAGGGTTTAGGGTTTAGGCTTTAGGGTTTAGGGTTTAGGCTTTAGGGTTTAGGGTTTAGGCTTTAGGGTTTAGGGTTTAGGCTTTAGGGTTTAGGGTTTAGGGTTGAAAATAATTGTTATTACCCTAACAATCACGTCAAAACGATCCTTAGAAAGCCATAGAAATCGAAATTTCTGGGGCCCCCCAAGCCTACGCCAGCAGGCTGGTTGTCCACGTCGGACCGCACAAGACGGGGAGCACCGCTCTGCAGGCAATCCTTGTAGGGTTTAGGGTTTAGGTTTAGGGTTTAGGGTGTAGGGTTTAGGGTGTAGGATTTAGGGTTCAGAATCTCAAGTTCGAGCATTTATTAGACCAGCAGCAGTGTGTAGGCAATGAACGGAAAAAAACCACCCGCCCAAAGAATCCCATAACATTAAGAAAATACAAAGTTGAAAAAGTTCTGTTCAAACGCACCAAGAGGCCAAACAATCACACAGACCTCAAGTCATTCCATCCAGGAACCCTGAGTCCTGAGTCAGTCCTGTGCCCTGCTGGCTTCGTGGCTCGCTGAGCTGCAGTGGGGGCCGAAATGGATCCAATCGCCAAATTCGTGCTGAACAATGGGGGGGGGGGGGGGGGGGGGGGGAATTGCTCAAAACGCCAAATTCGTGTGTAACGTTTAGGTTTATATGGTAGAGAGGTTCAGGGTTTAGGGTTTAGGGTTTAGGGTTTAGGGTTTAGGGTTTAGGGTTTAGGGTTTAGGGTTTGAGCACCGCCCTGCAGGCCTTCCTCCAGGATCATGCAAGTTGGCTTCGAGAGCGCTGGGGCGTGACGGTGGGCTTTCAAGGTGGCCCAAAGAGCTTCGCCGTTGTAAAAAATGGCCTTGTTGGTGGAAACTTCTTCCCGTCGACGGAAGCTCACCTTGCCGCTGTGAGCCGCTTGCAGCAGGCAATGAGTTTCTTGAACTCCGGCCTCAACTCTTCATCTCTCGTGGTCGTGTCCGCCGAAGGGCTTAGCTATCTGAAGCTCGGGCACTGGGAAACCTTCAAGTCCAAGCTTTCTCCGGAGCCTTGTCTGTCTGCAGTGGTGCTCCACCGGGATGCCGTGAGCCTGTTGCGCTCCGAGTGGTACGAGGTGAGCAAAAGTAGCAGCCACTTGGTGTTAAGGGGGGCCTTCGGACTCGTCGGCCTTTGTCGCCTTGAGTTGGGTTGAAGAGAGAGATTCTCGTTTAAGACTTGTTTTTTGTTGGCTCCTGTTGGCTACGAGCCCTGGCAACGCCTAGGTAATCCCATGAGCTTCCTATCCTACATGGCCGACAGGCAAGGCAAGCTAGATCCAGACGAGCACGGAGATTCTGAGCGACAGCTGCAGCTGCTCAACATGTTGAACAAGGTATTTGATGAGAAAGTTGATGCTGCGTCCTATGACTATTTGAGAGAGGCAAACTGCAGCGTGGCAAGCTTCCTTATCTGCAATGCCAGTCTTCGCCTGACAGGTAAGTCGTGGGCGCAATGCAGAGGCTCACTCGACGCCCGAGCATCCAATGTGGTGCTGAACAAGGCTGTGCCTCACGCAGCAATTGATGTGGTGCGACTGGCAAAGGCGCGTTATGCATCGAAGCAAGCGACACGAAAGCACGAAAGACCTTGTAAGCCTTGGCCTTTGGTGAACAAAACCTCGAGGCTGTCGGCAAGCACCGACGTGAAGCTGGCACCGACTCCGTCACACCCCGAGATAGTCGCGGCTGCGGAGCAGATGCCCCTCAAGTGCGAGCGACTTGATGGCCTCTTCCACGCTGAGATGGAGAAGTGGTTCGCACTTTCAGGGGCGCTAAAACCCAGGTCACATCCGAAGCCCGTCTGTGCCGTCGACCTGACCTCGCTAGAACCAAGGCACTGGCGATTGATCGACAAGCTTTTGCCCGACTGCCAGGGAAGCAAACTTGTGGCTGGATGTGCACGGCTTGGGAGTTTATGGGGCTTAGGCTAACTTAAGGGGGCTAAACGGCCGGGGAACCTTCCTGAACCCCAAACCGCGAGGGCAATGGCTAGGACGATCCCAGAGCAGTGCATGGACTCGCCCCGCTTTGAACCCTAAACCCTAAACCCTAAACAGGCTTGTGGTGATCCAGGGCGGGGTTTATGTGACATGCCGTACATGCCCTAGAGTGTTTGCGTGAGTGTCTCTGCAGGGCGTACTTTTTTTAAGGAGTCCGTTGCCGGTCGAAGTCGTTCTAAAAGCATGGCTCAGACTCACAAAGCCCAAGTGCTTCAGGGTTCAGGGTTAGGGTTCAGGGTTCAGGGTGGGCTCAGGGTTCAGGGTTCAGGGTTCAGGGTTCAGGGTTCAGGGTTCAGGGTTTAGGCTGTAGGGTGTAGGGTGTAGGGTAGCCTCGCCCAAAGCCCACATCCACGCATAGCTCCGACTGTGTATGCTTCCAGGCTGAGGATGTTTGGCTGTGGGGCTTTGGGTTTTACTGGTAGGATTGAGGGCTATAGGGTTTAGGGTTTGCACGGCCCTAAACCCGAAACCCGAAACCCTAAACCCTAAACCCTAAACCCTAAACCCTAAACCCTAAACCCCGAGTCCAAATGGAATCTAGAAGGTCCCTTAATGTGGTCCTTTGCCTCAGTCACAGTGTTCTGAAGTCTGGGCCCTTGGGACGAATTTCTGCCATTGAGGGGTGTATTTGGGTTCCCCAATTCAGGGGGTTTAGGGTTTAGGGTTTAGGGTTTAGGGTTTAGGGTTTAGGGTTTAGGGTTTAGGGTTTAGGGTTTAGGGTTTAGGGTTCAGGCCCCATGTTAAGGGTTTACTGTCATTTGCTTGCGAAGCCCGCCCCCCCCCCCCCCCCCCCCCGCGAAAAAGCAAAAAACACAAATGAATAAAATTCATAAATCAACATGTATATATATATATATATGTGAGAGCATATTTCCCGCAGTGCCCTTACGAGGAAGAATGTGATTTTATTCTTTGGGGGGTCCTTCATAAACCCTGAACTCAAAGCCCTATACACCCTACGCCCCAAACCCAAATAGCAGTTTAGGTTGGGATGTTCCCGCGTATACTAGCAGTTCTTAATAGGGAATGTAGCACTCCTTATTATAATCCCTACTAAGGAAGGAACATCCCAACTAATCGGCCCTAAACCTTTATCTCTTAACCCTAAACCCTGAACCCTGCACCCCAAACCCTAGTAGTAGTTTAGGCTTTAGGTTGCACAGGGTTGCAAGATATCAAAGGGGCTTGGTTTTTGGCGGCTGCTCCGGCTGCAGGACTTCTATGTAGAGGTTTAGGGTTTTAGGGTTTTAGGATTTTAGGGTTTAGGGTTTTAGGATTTTAGGGTTTAGGGTTTAGGGGGTTTTGGGTTTAGGGCTTAAAGGGCTCATAGGAAGTCGTGTGCGTTGCTGTTGGTCGTCGGAGCCCAGGCGGAACACCCAAGCCTACACCATCCGAGAACTTCTTACAGGGTTCTTATGGGAGGTTCAAGGGGGTATGTAACCCAAGGTTCCCTTATACTCCCTAAGGCTCCCTAAGTTTCCAGGTACCTACCCACCCCTTAAGAGCCCTAAACCCCTTAAGAGCCCTAAACCCTAAAAACTTCGCAGCAATCCTAGACTGCAGCGCCTCATTCTCGAGGTAGGGACCTTGGGATATGTTTTGGTTCCCTTAATCCCTGAACCCTAAACACTAGACCCAATAAGCTATAAGTTTTACGGGGAGCAAGCTGTCAGGCCAATGGTTTCTTAGGGTTTAGAGTTTAGGGTTTAGGGTTTTGGGTTTAGGGTTTAGGGTTTAGGGTTTAGGGGTTTTTAAGGGGCCGACCTCGAACATGCATCCCAGTGCTCAGCCCCAAGAAGGCTCCAAGATCCAAGGCTGACCACACAGGTTTAGGGTTTAGGGTTTCGGGTTTAGGGTTTGGGGTTTGGGGTTTAGGGTTTAGGGTCTAGGGTTTCGGGTTTAGGGTTAGGGAAGCACAAACAAACAAGCAAGCAAACCCACGAAGCCCTAAATCCTCTACTACAGGTATCCTGCAAACTCCCCAAACCCGTGAACCCGGGCACCGCACCCCTGAACCCTCCTAAGCCGCAAAAAAAACCGCTGAGTAACCGTAAACCCCCACAGGGTTTAGGGTTTAGGGTTTAGGGTTTAGGGTTTAGGGTTTAGGGTTTAGGGTTTAGGGTTTAGGGTTTAGGGTTTAGGGTTTAGGGTTTAGGGTTTTGCGAATCACCTTTGCAAGCCAGTGGCCATGAATAAATCTTGAACCTTGTCTCATAAGCCCTCTTGCTTATAAGAGCCCGAGAAGCCCAACCCCTATACAAAACGCTAAGCCCCGAACCCGACCAAAACCTGGAACCCTAAACCCTAAACCCTAAACCCTAAACCCTAAACCCTACACCCTAAACCCTAAACCCTAAACCCTACACCCTAAACCCTAAACCCTGGACGGCCTCCCATGAAAGCATGGCATCACGCGATGTGGCGTTGCTGGGCTGCCGGGCTCCTGGAAGCCGCAGCGCGAGACACGGCGCTGGCGGAGCACGCGCCTGCCGGATGGGCTTTTGGGGTTTTGGGGGGTTTCGGGTTTAGGGTTTAGGGTTTCGGGTTTGGGGTTTGGGGTTTAGGATTTAGGGTTTAGGGTTTCGGGTTTGGGGTTTAGGGTTTAGGGTTTCGGGTTTGGGGTTTCGGGTTTAGGGTTTTTGGGGTTTGGGGTTTAGGGTTTAGGGTTTCGGGTTTCGGGTTTGGGGGGTTTGGGGGTTTTGGGTGTTTGGGGGTTTTGGGGGTTTTGGGGTTTGGGTTCCTGGGGTTTGGGGTTTTGGGTTTTTTGGGGTTTGGGGTTTGGGGTTTTGGGGGGGTTTTGGGGTTGGGGTTTTGGGGTTTGGGTTTTGGGGGTTTTTGGGTTTTGGGGGGTTTGGGGGTTTTGGGTTCTGGGTTTTGGGTTTTGGGTTCTGGGGGTTTGGGGGGGTTTGGGGGGTTTTGGGGGGTTTGGGGTTTTGGGGGTTTTGGGGCTTTGGGGGTTTGGGGGTTTTGGGGTTTTGGGTTTTTTGGGGTTTTGGGGGTTTGGGGTGTTGGGGTTTTGGGGTTTGGGGGTTTTGGGGTTTGGGGTTTACTGTATAGCTTGGGGACCGAATGAACCCTGACATTGGGGGCATAGACCCCTACACCTTTCGTCCCCAAGGATCTGGGGTTTGCTTTGTTTAGGGTTTAGAGCTTAGAGGGTTTACAGTTTACAGGGGTTTTCAGGATTTTTCTTTTCAGGGTTTAAGGTTTTTAGGGGTTTAGAGTATGGGGTTTAGAGTTGCTACTGCATGAAGTATGCGGCTTCGCTGCTTTGATCAGTTGAACCCTCAGAGCCTCAACCAAGGTACTGGTACCAGCGCAACGACTCACGAGGGAAGGGGGCCGTGCTGTTGGAGGCCGGCAGAGACTGCCATAGAGGTTAGGCACTTTAGGGCTATTTAGCTTTTAGGCTTGTCGGGTTTAGGGCTGAGGTTTTTTTCGTTTCGAGGTTTAAGTTAAGAGCTGCTGGGGCTTGCTTCGCACGTCTAGGGTTCAGGGGTTTGGCGTTGAACATGTGCGCGCCATTCGTGCTTACAGAGGGGCCTCGTAAGGGGTTGGCGAACAATGTGTTCAAAAGCCCTGCCACCCGAAATTTGCCGGCCATAAGCCCCTTGAATTGCGTCTTCAAAAGAGAAGCTCATCTGACTCATCTAACTCATGGCAAGCCCTAAAGCCTTGTGCCTAGAGCCCTCATAAGCCCAAACACCCCTCACACAAGGGCAGTAAGCTGTCACTGTATTTGGATTGTTTCCTCAAGCCCCACGTGACTCAGGGCGCGCCTTCTTTTCTTTTCGCGGGCCGTAAATTGGGATGTTCCTTCCTAGACTTAGTAATGGGCCCCCCATTAGAAATTCTATGAAGGAGCTGCTAGTATAAGGCGGGAACATCCCAACCCTAAACCGTTTCCCTAAATCTAAACCCTAAACCCTATAGCCTAAACCCTGTTAGTATAAGGGGGAACACCCAAGCCGTAAACGTAAACATTTGCTGCCTCGGCACTTGATTTTCGGAGGCTCCGTTTTGGGTTTAGGGTTTGGGGTTTAGGGTTTAGGGTGCAAACTGCCGAAAGAAATTTTCTTGGATGACTTTGCTCCCAGCCGCAAAAGTGTGGTTTCAAGAGCGTTGGCTGCACAGGCCCAGTCCGCTTACCTCACCCGGCCCGCACTTGGGGGCTTACGATATAGGGGTTTAGGGTTTGGGGTTTAGGGTTTAGGGTTTAGGGTTAGGATTTGGGGTCTTTATAAGAAGGGGATCCTACTATTTGGGAGTTTATCTTAGGGGTCCCTGATTATGGCAAAGCCCCACTTGCATCTTCCAAAGCCTCGCAAACCTGACCTTCCCCACCCAGCACAAGTCTTGGCAACCCCGGGCACAAAGCCCTGTCAGCCCTTAACCCTCAACCCTAAAACCTAAACCCTCAACCCTAAATCCTCAAGCCTAAACCCTAAACCCTGAACCTGTTTCGAGATTCTGAGTGCTCACGGCTGTTAGCGCTTTGCGGCTAAAGGGCTTTCGGGTTTCGGACTTTTGGCTTTGCGCTTTGGGGGAGGGGGGGGTTCAGCGCTAACAGTTTAGCGTTTAAGGTTACTTAGGGTTTAGGGTTTAGGGTTTAGGGTTTAGGGTTTAGGGTTTAGGGTTTAGGGTTTAGGGTTTCCGGTTTCCGGTTTCCGGTGTAGGGTTTCGGGTTTCGGGTTTAGGGTTACTTCGGGTTTAGGATTTAGGGCGTGAGGGTGCTGATTTCTCGGGTTTTGGCCTCCAGCAGGCTTTGGGCGAGTTCGGCCACGGCCTGTGGCCCTGCTTCTTTGAAGAAGACTCCGGGCTGTACTCCTGTTTAGGGTTTAGGGTTTAGGGTTTAGGGTTTAGGGTTTAGGGTTTAGGGTTTAGGGTTTAGGGTTTAGGGCTGTACTCCTGGACTTTGTCATAGTTGGGTA